TTCCTGTACCAAAACAGGGATGAACAAACTGATGGAGGAGATCCCAAATTTCCTGTACTAAAAGAGGGATAGGCAAAAACCGGTGGAGGAGATCCCAAGTCTCCTGTAGCAAAACAGGGATGAACAAACTGATGGAGGAGATCCCAAATTTCCTGTAGCAAAACAGGGATGAACAAACAAACCTGGTGGAGCAGATCCCAAAATTTCCTGGAGCAGAGCAGGGCCGACCAAGCCCAGCAGAGCCGGGACGGATCCGGCCGTGCCCGGGGGTCGTTCCGGGGAGGTCCCGAGGGCCACCCCCCACAATTCCCCCCCGTGTCCCGCGTGGATGCTGCGGCTCAGGCGTGGGAGTTGATGGCTTTCTGTTTTCTCTCCCGGTGACGTCAGCCTGCACCTGACCACCTTCAGCCTGCAGTACACCCCGCCCGTTGTGGCCTGCGTCTGTATCCACCTGGCCTGTAAGTGGTCCAACTGGGAGATCCCAGTCTCCACGGACGGGAAGCACTGGTGGGAATACGTTGATGGCACTGTAACTCTGGAGCTCTTAGATGGTAAGTTTGGGAGCGAGGTTTTCCACCCCCCCAAAAAAAAAAAAAAATAAAAAAAAGGCTCTTAAATTATTTTGGCATCTTTGGTCCTGGGTCTGATGTTCCGACACCACCTCACGGGCTCCAGGATTTCAGGGCTTGCCGAGGTTTCCAGGGCAGCAGCAGCTTCTGTAGCACCACAGAGAGATGAGTTTAAATGTGTCAGTGGTTCCAGTTCTCAGAGTTTCCCCTCCCGGAGCAGCTCCATCCCACCAGTAGCTCCATCCATCAGAAGAGGGGGTTGTCCTGAGGGACCAGGGCTGCTCTGACCCTCCCGCTTGGGTTTGTGTCTCCTCTGCAGAACTGACTCATGAATTCCTGCAGATCCTTGAGAAAACTCCCAGTCGGCTTAAACGGATCCGGAACTGGCGGGTAAGGAACTTTGGACATTCCCTGTGATTCCTTTGGGAATGACAGTGTCTGGGAAGGGAGTGTGTGTGTGGAATCTGAATGCTGTGAGCGGTGCTCGAGTTTGTCTGCACTGAATTAGCTCTGGAGAGACTTTGGTTTTCCAGCTGCAGTAGCAGCCTGGCTTCCAGGGCTTGGGAACCTTCCCACAAGGAGGGATGGGGGCAAAATCTGTCTGTGAATAACTGATGAGCTCCAGAGTAAACACCTGGTTGGTCTCTCAATTCCAGGCCTCTCAAGCAGCCAGAAAGTCCAAGACCGACGACCACGGCGACGATGAGAACCTGTCGGAGCAGACCATCCTCAACATGATCTCCAGGAACAACAGCTCGGACATGAACATCGCCGGGCTCATGAGCATGTCCACGTCCTCCACGGCCGGCGCGGGGCCGGCGCTGCCGCCCGCCGCCGATTCCCCCGGCGAGCCCGGCGCCGCCGACGCTTCCCAGGCGGATCATTGGCATCCCCCGGCCAAGCTGGACATCCACAGGACTAGCGAGAGCTCCTCGGCGGCCGCCGCCGAGCACCCGCAGCAGGACGGTGCCTCCTACCCAAAGCAGGGCACCAAGAACGCGCCGTCGGCCAAGGTGTCCCTCAAGGAGTACCGGGCCAAGCACGCCGAGGAGTTGGCGGCGCAGAAGCGGCAGCTGGAGAACATGGAGGCCAACGTGCGCTCCCAGTACGCCTACGCCGCCCAGAACCTGCTGGTGCAGCAGCAGCGGGAGAGGGAAGGGCAGCAGGACAGCAACCCCTCCCCGATCATCCTGAAAATCCCCATCGCGGGCTCGGACAACCCCGAGCGCCCGCCCGGCGGCGCCGACAAGGGCGACAAAGCCCTCAAGATGAGGATCCAGGCGGCGGCGGCGGGGGCGGGCGGGGAGAGGCCCGTCCCCTCCAAGCAGGAGGAGATCAAGATGCGGATCAAGGTGCCGGGGGGAGGCCCCGGAGACAGGCACGGCCCGGCGGACGAAGGCGGGAAGAGCCGGGAGTACAAGGAGAAGCACAAGGGCCACTCGTCCAACCACCACCACCACCACCACAACCACCACTCGCACAAACACTTGCACGCCCAGCTCGGCGCCGGCCCCAGCACCGCGGCCAAGCGCCCGGGGGACTCCAAGCACGGCGCCCAACCCGGCGCCGCCGCCCCCCACAAGGGCTACGGGCCCCTCGCCCCCACCCGCAAGAGACCCCTGCCCGAGGAGCCCTCGGCCGCGCCCCACGAGCACCAGCCCAAGGCGGGCAAAGCCTCCAAAGGCCCCGTGGTGCCGCCGTTCCCGTACTCCCACCTCCCCGGGGCCGCCCACCTCGCCGGGCACGGCGGCTCGGATTTATCCCAGCCGGGCAAAGCCCAGCGGGGCGCCCACAAATCGGACAAGGGGCCCTCGGGGGCCAACGGGCACAACGCCAGCCAGGCCAGTGACTATCAGGACACGGTGAACATGCTGCACTCGCTGCTGAGCGCGCAGGGCATGCAGCCCACCCAGCCCCCCGCCTTCGAATTCCACTCGTACGAGCTCCTGAACCCCCGGGCTTCCAGCGGCTCCCGAGCTGCCGCCAACACGGACAAGCCCCGACCGCCCCCCCTGCCCTCGGAACCGCCCCCTCCTCTGCCCCCCCTCCCCAAGTAAAACCCCCCCCCTCCCTCCCCTTTTTACTACTGAGTCCAGAGCCCGAGCCCGAACCCGCGGGGCTTGAGAAAGGGCTTTTTGATCTCCACTGCCTCACGAAGAACTTATTTTATTATAATATAACTTTTATTATTGATATTTAGTTGTTAAAAAGCTGTGAAAGGATAAGGAACCCTTTCTCTATTCCTTCCCTTTTCCCCCCCCATAGGCTCCCAGTTAGTGTTGGGCTTTGCCCCCCCTCTGGGGAACGTGGGGGGGTATTTAAAATATGTCACAGAAAATTTAAGATGTTTTACAAATAATTTAAGCATTAACTTATATCTTGGTGGTTTTGGTCCTTTTAATTCCGTGGGGCTGTGGTGGAGCCCGGGGAGGATTTGGGGGGGAGTTGGTGGTGGGGGCTCCACTTGAGCTGTTGGAGGTTGGACGTGGATTTAGGGGTTTTTGGGGGGATGTGGGGGCTAAGGGAATTCCAGGTGATAGGAGCTGCTCTCCCTGCCATGGTCCTGTTTCCTCGCTCCTAAACCTGCTCTGATTTGGGAATGGTGTCTCTCTCCCTATTCCCCTCCTGCAGCCCAAGGCTGGTGTGTGCAGAGCTGGGTTTAGGCCTGTGTTGGAGGACTTGGCTGTCGGGGTGATTGGGAAGGATTATGGTGCATTCCCAGTGGGATGAGGATGCAGGATCACCGTGCCCAGGGCAGCTCTTCCAGGGAATTCCAGGGAATTCACAGCCAAGCTGGAAGCAGCTTCTATACAGCCCAGGGACCCACTAGGGTTTGGGTTGAATGTTTCTGAAAACCCCATTTCCTTCCTTCTTAGACTTTTACTCCCCCACCTTCAATAAATGGATGGTCTCTGGATGGTTTTTGGGAAACTTGTTCCACATGGGCTTGTTTTTAGGAAGATTCAGTGCTGGCCTCTCCCTCCAGCACCTCTGCCCTCGGTGACCCTTCCCCCACCAAGGGTTTGGGAACAGGTTTAGGTTCATTTTTGGGTCTGGCTTAGATTTCAGGCTCTGGACAAAGGCCCAGCCCTTTGTTTCCCCCAACTCCTTTGGAGGCCGGTTTCTCCCGGGATGAGGAGGTTCTGCCTTCCCGTTAACCGGCGGGGAGCAGTGTCGGTCTGCAGCCAGTCCGGGAAACCGGGAGGGGATCGGGACCAATTTGTGGGGCTCTTGGCCAAGCCCTAGGACCAAGCCGGGGCTCCCGGGAGCTCCTCCTTTCCCGGTGTCCCCTCCCGCGGGGACCCCCCGCTCCCGCCGCTCCCACGTGTCGCGTTCCCGCCTCGCCCCGCCCACGTGACCACCGGGGGGGAGGCGTGGCCGCTCCCCTCGTGAGTGACGGCGGGATCGCCCAACCGCGCGCGGCACCGCCCCCGCGCCCGCCGCCGATTGGCTGCCGGGCGGGCCAGTGAGGGCGGCGGGGCGGGCGCGCGCCGGGTCTGCGCGGAGGCCGCGGCGGCAGCGAGGTAAGATGGCGGCGGCGCCGCCCGCCCACGGGAGGGTTCCCGCTCGGCCCCTCGCCGCGGCCCCCGCGCGCTCCCCC